TTCAAGTGCTGGCGTCGTGGCCATATCGGTGGTAGCTTCGCAATGACGAGCCTTTTAATTGCCAAGGCGGCAACTTTGCCGGAGTCGGGTGGCCGTGATCCGGAAGGAGGGTAGCTACTGACGTTGCGTTCTCCACCGGTGAGGACAACGTGAATGAAGGATCTATGAATCGGAGGCTTGACGTAGTAGCGGAGCCCGTGAGGAAGTGAGGCTCTTTTGAGGGGGAGTCGAAGGGCTATCCTCGGTGAGCTTTTTTCCGGACGGAGGCGACCACTGGCGTGTAAAAAGGAAGTGGGGGAGGAATGGGATGAACGGCCGTCTCTATTGATGGCCGGCCGTTTGTGTTGTGGCTTTTTTCTTAACGGCCGTTGCGGGTTAAGAGGACACTCGGAAGCTCGAGTTTGAGGAATCGCAGCAATAGCTCAGAACAAACCCGAACCAAGATCAAAACCGAATGCAGGCATGGTGTACAAGGGAGAGAAGAGGTGGCGGTGGTGGGGTGCCTAATGGGCGGGAGACAAGGAGGAGGCAGGCGGTGGTGGGGTTGGGGTAGAGGCTGGGCCCATGGGTACAGCAGTAGTAGAATGGGGCGGCCGGTAGGCGGAGGGATAATGGGGAAACACCCGAACTCCGGTGATGCACCCGGGTCCAATGCTGGGTGAGGCCTTTGACTATGGTGGAGGTGCAGGTGCAGATCATCGGTATGGAGAGGATGTCATCCATGGGAAGGAGAGGGGTAGGGGAGCGGGGCCCGGAACCTGACAGGCAAAAGGGGTGGGTGGACCTGAAAGAAGGCATGGGAGGCAGAAGGATGCAGGAGGTGGGCAAGAGAGGTGAGGGAGGAGGCATAGGGATGATAGGGAGAGGAGGCTTCAGGATGATGTGGAGATGGGAAGGGATAGGGGAGGGAGTCATGGTCATTGGGAGAGGGAGAGGGAAGATATTGGGATGATAGAGACAGATATGCGGATCACTATAGAGGCACAGGGAGCTGGAGATGGAGAGAGATGATGACTGGGATAAAAGGAAGATCTAGGTCACAGCCACTCTATGGAGGTTGAGATGGAGAGAGATGATGACTGGGAAAAGGAGGCATCTGGGGATCAGAGTGAAAGGGAGTCCATGCAAATTCCTCGGCATGAAGTATGTTTTTTGGTGTATAATTGCCAAGGATATTTGTGGGGGCATCTTGCAGTCATTACTCTTGAGAAGTAAGTTTTCCTTCCTGTTTCTTTGCGTACTTAATGGTTGTTTTCTTCGCTGTTATGCGTTATATTGATAGGTTGCAAATTCCTTGTGCTCATGTCTTAGGTTTTATTTGCCGAAAATACTAATATCTTATTTATCTATATGCAAAATTATATGAATACTATTAATATAAATGGCTACATATCAGAAGCCAATCTTCATTTGCATGTTGTACAACTTCTGTTATTTTAACCTAAATTACTTGATATATGTTGGTTGATACGAGTTACCTGTTTTGCCTGAAATATTCATTATCCTGGTATTGCAAAATGATAATGCCTGACTTTCGGTTTATTTGTTACATGTCATTTGAGTCTCGAGTAGCAATAACTTATTACTTCAGCATTAAAATTAACTGTAGGACATATTGTTACTTTTGGGTTTCACTTTCTATTGTAGAATGTTCTATAACTTGTTATATTGATTTACTGTAGGTACAGACATGACTGTGGTTTCTCATTCATTAATTTTTCATTTTTTGTATTTGCCTTCATCTTGCAACTAAAGTCTGCTATTTTTAAATGAATTCCATAAACATGATAGCTTGGATTACCTGACAAGATACTTCATAAGGCGCTTCATAAAAGTGGCATTTTATACTCTATTTCCATATATGTGCCATGAGTGCACTAGGAAGTCCTTTTTGCTGTATGAGAAGAAGCCCCAGCTAGATGAAGAATGTGATTAGAAATTTATTTGGAGTTGTAAAAAATTGTTGTAGAGTTGATGTTGAGAAATTTATGTTTTGGTAAGACTCGGTAGCTTGTGGATGTTTCCTTGTGTTCAAGTAGTCAAGGGTTGTAATTACCATTGACCATTTAGATCTGTAGAAACCTTGTCAAATCCCTTCTATAGAATACTCCTTAGTTCATACCCTCCATTCTTTAGGTATGGTAGCTGGGGTTTTATTAATGTTATGCAGCTGGAGCTGGAGTGATAGAGCCAACAGGGTCATGTTTTGTATGCAATCACCGTGTTCTAAGTCCTATATGTATGATATAGACCATTCTTTTTTAGAAGTAATGACGTGTCAAGATGTCATTGGTAGGATGGCATTGTTTTGTACACGTGCGATGCATGAGGACAGGGAGATTTTTTTTAGGCTGAAAATTTCAGAGGCAGCGTAAACTGTATAGAATTCACCTCTGCATTGTATATATATTTCTTTCTTTTTGTGTTTATGCAGTTTCTTGCATACATACGTATTTATGTCTAGTTATTGTTTCTTTGTTTGCATATGTTTTTTTGGGTAAGGATCTTGCAAGGTCTAAGGCTTTCACATTTAGATGCTGCATGATCTCTACAATATGCAAATGTGTAACACTTACTCAAATTGTAAATTATTATTTTCACATTGTAAATAAACTTCATCTAGACCTTTCATGTCTTCACCTGGTGCTAATTCATTTTTATGTGAATGGTTCTGTGATCCATTTCTCCTTTCTGACAGTGTCATTCTGCTTTTTTCTTCAGTGTAATATTGGCAAAAATAGCAGTTTTTTTTTTAAATCATGAGATTTGTAGAAAACATTGCTAACACTCATGACTCTGTATTTATGCAATCATTCCCAATTGTAATCGGAGGTGAAGGGACATTTTTGGATGAAATTTAGTAGTGAATTGCATCTATCATCCTCACATGGACTCTTGAGAGGGTCAGAAGAGGAACACATAAATTGGTGGGTATGTATTCAAAACATTAGGTTTCTTTGTGGGTTTGACAGGCAATTAAATATTCAGGTTAAAAACAAGAAAAACGAATCTTTTTTGTCTGCCACCAAAATGACTTCCTTGGATATCTATGAAATGAATTTAAGTTCGGGATGGGTGTCAAATTTGAAGCGCTGGGGCCTCTATGTAATGAATTTAAGTTTGGGAAGATGCTGAATGAATTGAAGTTTGGATGATGTTGAATTTCTTCAACTCTGTGATCTTCTTTAGCATGAACTTTGGAAAAGATGTTGAATTTGAATATTGTACCATCACTTAGAATATACTGCAAATGGAATGAGAGTTTCAAAGGGCAATGATGTAGGCTTTGTGATAGTGTCTTTAAGGGGGAAATAGTCTTTTTGAAGGATATTTCGTGTTAATTGAATTTTAGAAAGATTTCCAGGGCACACTTGTTTCCATTTTATTTCCCTAATTGCTTCAAAAATGTGGCACTTTCCCAGTTGCTTCAGAAATGTGGCATACTGCTATGACCTACGGTCTTAACCTTTAGACCTCCTTTGGCAAATAGGTAAATGAAGGGTTAAGGAGATATTGACGCGCATCCGCTTGGCCTGCTGACACAAAAAATGTATACAAGCGTGTGAACTGAGTCAACCCCTCCTAATTTGCCAAGCACAAAATATAGAAGAAGGGTTTACAAATACTTTTAGAGGGATTAACATGAGTTAATCCCTCAAAACGAGGGTTTTACATATCCACATATTTAGATAGATTAAGAGATAAACCCCTCTTTTTATAAAGAAAGTGGTCATAATTCTTGTTATTTCCAAACACAAAAATGGTAATAAGGATTAAAATAAAATAACCTCACAGATTAACAAATTTAGCCCTTCACATTAACAATAAGGCTAACTATATGTTAACTCTTCTCTTTAATCCTCCTTCGTAAACATTTGCCAAAACTGGCCTAAGACCATGATCCCTCTTTTAATGGCAAAGTCCAAGAGTAATTGAAGTATGCATAAAGAAATAATTAACATTGTATTTCATTTTGAAGAAGTTATGGTTTGAACACATTATAATGGGGTGTCCAATATTCTGGTAATATAAAGGAGGACATTCTGAAATATTGGTCAGGATCAATCTGAAACAAAAGAACTTCTCATTTTGTATCTATTTTAGAATATATGGTATAAACTAATTTTTTTTTTGTTTTTGTACTATATCTATTTTAGAATATATTCAATAGGCTTATACTTTTTAGAATATTTGCATAGGAAGAATGTATGAGTGCTTTAGTAAGAATTCATTTACATCCAGTCTTTATCACATTAATTTATGGTAGAAGTGTAGCTGCTATGCCGCAACAACAAATGGAGGAACAGAGATGAAAGCATGAGCAAATTATGGTGAATGAAGGAGAGCGGGAGGGACTTTGCCTCTTTGTGTGTGTGTGTGTGTGTGTGTTTTTTGAGGGAGAGGGAGGGCGATGGGATGGCCAAAAGAGAAGATGTAATAAGTGAAGAGGGAGGCATAATGAGAGATGAATGCGTGTCAACGGAAAAGCAGCGTAATGAAATACGGAAGGGCCAAAAGAAAAGATGGAATAAGTCAAGAATGGAAGGGGAAAAATAGAAGAGATATAATAAGAGACAGAAGGGAGACACTGTATAATGGAAGACGTTGAGCTTAAACAAACCCACACGATGAATCATGGGGAAAAGACTGAAATGATATGTTTTACGTCACCTTCTTTGTCGGATGTTTCGATTAAGAGGCTTTGGGGGTAGTTTTAAGACAGACTGAAATGATATGTATCACATTACCTTCTTCTTTCCGACTTTTGTGCAAGGCATGGAGCTTGTGGATATGCAACAGACCTCAAAAGTGAATTTTTCTTTCTTTGGCGATTCCTGTATGTGCTCTCTTTTTATTTCTCTATTGATTGCTCTGTTTGTCTTAAGGGCTACAAAGAGGTTAATGAGGAAAATGAGAGGAAGGTAAAGGAAGGATTGGGTGTGTCTCATGTTCCTTCTTCTTTTGGTGAATAGTGGATGG